CTCCCCCCCCCCCTCAACGCCTCACCTCCCCAGCGAACATGGCACCGCTCGTGAGCAGCCGGTTGTTCTCCCAGGCATCCTGGTCGGCGCTCATCTGGCTGGCCTTAGCCGAGCGGTTCGCGATTTTGCCCTCCCCCCTTGCCCTGTCTCACGCGCGCGGGTGTTCAACGAGTACAAAAAGTCGGAGGTGAACACACATGCCCGGGGTCCCAGAGCATACGCAGCGGCTGGGAAATTCTTCGAAGCATGGGAACTGCAAAAGTACAGAGTTGGCGTGCTCGAGCTGCTTTGACCTCAAACACAGAGCACTCCTCCTGTGCAAACAAAAGAAGTATCGCTGTAGGCATGAGAGATGGCTTCGGTTCCACCCAGGTTGGCCTTCTCGCCAACTCTTGGCCCCGAAATACTCCTCGCCCTAACCCCCAGGCCACTCCCTCGGCTCGGGCTTTTTCAACCTCCACACGTACGTACGTGGTAGCGAATCTATGATTGTGACCATACTTGCCTCTCAGGAACCCTGACGTTACAATGTGACCCCTTTCTGCAACGTCCAACAAAAAGCGTTCCCAACGACAATAAGAATAAGATTCGCATCTGAATTCCAAAAAAAAATAACACTGTGCCGAAGCTTGATTTTTTGTCGAAAAACAAAATGATTTCGGATGGTAATTGGTGTGTGTCCACACGTCCACACCTGAGCTTGGCGTTCTCGGCTTCCTTGGCCGCGAACTTCTTCTCGTCTCCCAGGAATGGGTTGGCGGTCTCAGAGTCCTCCACGGCACCCCCGCCGTCGTCTCGCAGGTAGAAGCCCCGGTCGTACTCCTCGTCCTCGATCCTGGCGGTCCTGCGCTGCTCGACCTCCCAGTCTTGCTGAGAGATTTCAGGGAAGAGTGACAAAAAAAAAAACACATGGTGAAAAGCGGGTTAGGGGGCGTACTCTCATGTTTTGAATGCCTTAGCGGTTAGACCATTGACCACGCGTCCTCGACAGGACGTAGCATGGTTCCCACAGGACCGATCTCCCATGGCCAATCGTTGAGGGGCGGGGGGGGCGGGGGTGTCCTCATGTAGACGTATGCCACAGTTGGTAGATCATAGACCTCGCACCCCTGCAACGCCGGGACGGAGCCAGGTTTTCGCAGACCCAGGCTACGTTTCACGAGGGTGAACCAGAAGTAAGGTCATCATCTTTTCGAGAGCCAAACAAGATATATGCCATGGGTTGTGTCTCTCCTCCATTTTTTTTATTTTACCGCCGTCTTCGTGTCGCCCCCGCGATTTTGTTTTTGTTCGACTCTACCGGCTCTTTCTCTTGAAAACCCGAACGATTCAGTTGTCTATTCCTCCAGTGGTTTGCGTCGTGTCGCCGCTGCATCTGTATTTTTTGCTGCGCTGGCTCTGTTTTTCGACGACAAACTAACCAGTTGCCGGAAGAGGCTGGGGAGCCGAGGCGCCGGGGGCAAGCGGGGGGCGGGGGGCGGGGATGGAGAAGAGGACATGGTCTGGAGGTTCCCCACCCCGGCGGACCGAGATTGGCTCACGCTTGACGATCCTGTCAAGGCTTTGCAGCACGGCTACTGCCCCCAGGCGAGATGCCGTTCGTTCATGTACAGTTAGTGGCGGCATCGATATAAGAGGGGGCTCCGATANGGGGGGGGGGGGGGGTGGAATACGAAGATATCCGAGGATACGTCGTGCTTGATCCTGGCGGATTCTGGATGCTCGACCTCCAAGTCTTGGTTGAACTTCACGGTGCTTGTGGCGAGGGGCGAGAACAAAAGGTGACACTTGAAGGGAGGAAGCGGGCGGGGGAGGAGGGAGAGGATGCTGTACGTCTGTCTAGACCTCGGGAGCACCATGGCATCAAACACCCACAATCGTAGAAGCCACATATCTCGCATCCAGAGGTAATAGCTATTACAGCAGAACATACACCGGTGTGCGGAAGCACGTACATGATCCACGACGTCGCCGTCCCCTCTTCCGTCAGTGGGCATCCCCGCTCCCCGTCCCGACCTGCCGGAGGCGTTTCGTCGCGCCGGAAAGAACCAAGGATACCATTGGCGGAGACAGGGGGGGGGGGTTAAATGCTTAGCGGGCTCGAGCCGGCGCGGGAGAAAGCTAACAAAAAAATTGCCAGTGTTTCGCCACAAGGTTCTCGCGCCGCCGCACTGCTACATCAATTTGCGGAATAAATCAGTTTCATCCGCAAGACTCCGTGTGAGCAAAGTCCGAGCACCTTTTTTGGCCGTGGAGCAGAAGCTTCTGCTGGTGCGGGGAGGGGCGTGGGACGTGGAATAAAAACAAATGTTATGAGCAAACACTCAAAATATAATAGACGACAAATATATATATGTAGCTATTGCTGCCGTGTGTTTCCATCCTGTGTGCTCTGTAAGTCGATTGTTCGACAGTCCGGGGAGTTCATCGGTCTACCAACCGACCGGGGTCATGCAGGAGGAAGGCCACGCAACAAGACTTTCAAGCTATTCTGATAAAAAAAAAGAAGAGAGACGAGCACATCTCTGTGTGTAGACAGCGCCAACACCCAAGGAGCGTCTGACGAGTCATTCAAAACCTTTACAACAGAGGAACCAGCGCACTTTTCACCTTCGTGATGGCCGGGCTACATAGAACTCCCAAACACAAACGTCATAGCTAACAATGCTGCTGTCACCTGCCCTCCCTCGAAGACAGCATGGACGGCGCGGGGCTTGGCCTATCATAGCCCCAACGGGGGGAGGGGCTCGGCCTATCCCAGCCGCCGTCGCTATCCTCCTCCCTTCCCCTCCGCGACCCCCCGCCCGGTGTCGGTGTCGGCGTTGCCGTAACCGCCTGCAAGTGCGGCGTAAATGACGACGGGACGGGCAGCACCCGTAGCGAGAAAAAGTCAAACATATGACCGCACCGCAGTAGCAACAACAAAGGCGACGAAGACAAGGACAACAGCTTCGACAGCGTTCCACAGAAAAGGAAACAGCAGCAACCACGACAACGCCGAGGGACACCGGTGGCAATATATGCATACAACCAAATGCCATGTAGAGTAAAACGCTGGCAAATCCACACCCGTTAGAAACCTACTCGGTGCATTTAGGGCATCTATACGTGCGAATGTCAGCGTCAATAAAAAAAAGCCACGTTGCTGGTTACCCGCCGGCAATCGAGGACGCCACTGGTGCTGTCGACCGTCATAAATACTTCGCGCCAAACGAAGCCTTGCATGAGAGTCCGCGTCCAATCGACGACAACACACGAGAGTCAAACCCAAAACACAAGAACAAAAGTTCTGGTCCAAAAAAAGCCGCAACAACAAACAGCAACACACACGCACACCAACGTCTGCTCAACGACCAGCAGGTGAGCTCCGTTGACTCTCCCAAACACACACACACAGTCTCATTGGTCAGCCGGATAGCGCGGTCGTTGTCAAAACAAACACAAATACCACACACACGCGTATACGCTCACCGTCATGGGTGTCATCTTCCCCCCACCGCCGCCGCCGCCGCCGCCGCCGCGCGACGACCCCACTGGACTAGGCATCGGCGTCGAGGACAACCTTTCCGGCTCCTCCCACTCCGACTCGTCTAGCCCGAGGCCGCCCCGGGTGGGGTCGGAGTGGCCACCGTCAGCGCGGCGTGGCCTGAGCGACGACGACGATGCTGACGGGCGACTCCGGCCATCGTCGTTTCGTCTGCTGCTGCTTCTGTTGCTGCCGCTGCTGCTGCTCCCGTTCCTGTAATTTTCATCGTGTGTTAGGCCGGCAGGGTCTTGGTCCCGGCCCCTGTTTCCGATGTAGGTGGAAAAGGCTGCTAATGTTCGTGAGGTTGGCTATGGGTGTTGGAGCTGCTTCGGTTTCGGTGTATGTTCCCGATATGTGGGTGGAAATGTTCCTGCTGTTCGTGTGTTAGGTCGGCAGCGTGTTGGTGCTCCTGCTGTTTCGATATATGGCCCCGCTTTTAGGAACCAAGAATAGGCTTCGGCTGCTTCGCGTGTAAACGCTCTCCAGGAGCCGCTACCGCTGTGGTTGAAACACTTCAACGAGTCTTCATCGACAGGCGCGCTCTTGTGCGTCTGTGGATATCGCATTCGTCATGAGCTCCAGTCCTCCTGCTCCCCCGGCTACAAACAGCCTCAGTTTCCAGGCTTCAACTCACATCGGCGTGACGGCGTCCTCCCACCTCTCGCTCGTGCGCGGCCGGCGCCTCTCCGGGCTCCGGCTCCGGCTCCTGTTCCTCGTCCTAGACACCGAATCCCGCCCAGACGACGAACAGATACCCCCCCTTCCGCCGGGGCTCCTGGAGCGCTTGCTTCTGGGCCCTTCGCCCCCGTCTCTCCTCTTACGGTCTCCGTTGGAGTCGTCGCGCCCCCCGCCTCTTCCATCGTCTCGCCCCCGGTGGCTCCTACTCCGGCTACTGCTGCTTCTATCGTCTCGCTCTCGACGGCCGTCCCTCTCCCTTTCCCGCCGGCTGCTGCGGCTGTCTCTCCCCGCATGGCGGTCGTCTCCGCTCTCCCCCCCGCCGCCGCCGTCGGACCGTCGGCTCTTTCGCCGCCCGTCGGCGTCCCGCTCCTCTGACCGGCCGCCTTCCCCCCCCCCGCCCGCGGCGGCGGCGGCGGCGGGGACGACGACGTCGGCGGCGACGCCTCCTCCCCGCCGGCGAGCGCGCTCCTTCTCGTCGATCTTGTCCTTGGCCTCCCGGTTAACGCCACCCGGGTGCGACGGGGTGTCCGGTCCCGGGCGCGACCTGTACTTGCGCTGCCTGGCAAAAAAAAGCAAGCACACGCCGGGAAAAAAAAACGGGCGCGCACATATGTCGGTTGCCTTTTTCTGTCAAGAACGAAAAAAGAAAAAGCACAAGCCACTTTACTAGGGCGACCGCGACGGGATGTGCATTTTCGAGACGCTGTCACCAAGAAGCGGGGCAAACAAATCGCCTGTCTGCTGCGATTCCTTACCTCGACTCCTTCTGCCCTGTTGTCGGCGCCGCTGTCCCGTCGCCCCGCGGTACCCCGTTACCGCTGGAGCCGTCGTCGTCCCCGGGTGCGGTATCCAGATCGGCGAAGGACAGAGCTCCGCCGCTACCGCTACCGCTTTTGGCGCCCCCGCGAGCGTTTCCTCTTCCCCCAAGCCCGGCCGCCTCCAGGGCCGCCTGCCTCTCGGCATTCTTCTGAGCGGCAAGCTTGTCTAGGCCTAGGAGTGATCCTTGCTGTGTCCGCGGCGTCGGGGCCTGTACAGAAGGGAGAGGGCGCTTACATCAGTCACCGGCTGCAGAAGCAGAAGAAGGAAAGATCGATCGATACAGTAGCACCACCGCTGTAGGGAATAATTCACCGTTGCTGGGGATCGACGTCGATCTCCCGGTACGATCGTGAGCGTTACCGGTGATGCGCCTTGTTGGAGTTTCGTGTGTTGATACACCCGCGATGCTGTCTGTTTGACTATTTCGAGCTTGAGGTATAGGTCGAGATCGAGTGAGAACAGAGCGATGCTCGTGGGTATATTTCTTCACAAGGATCGACATTTTTTTTTTGTTTGTCTTCACTTCAAATCAGCCCTCACAGCACTAGTGCCGTTTTACTCCAACCCGTGGTCACACAGAAGAGCCCCTCTCTACCCTCCCCCCCTGCGGTACTTTGCCTTCGATTTTTAATGCGAGAAGAGTTCAGCACTCTGTTCCCTCTGTGCACACACGAACTAGCGCTATCCACTAGGCCAGGAGCGGAAGCGAGAGAAAAACTCACTTTGCAAGAAAAGCTCGCTTGCGCCGGGATTCGAACCCCTGACCTGACCTCTAGGAGGTTTCGAGGTTACCAACTAGACCACCGGGGCGACAGGCAATGAACATCCCTGGGTGTTTTCACGAGAGGTCAAAGCTGAATCGCCGGGTCCAAATCCGTTCCTCCAGTGTCGATCGATATCTATCGATCTTCGAACATCGTTCGTACATCTCCATGATGTCTTCGAAGACTTTCGAGCGATGTTTGTATCCTTGTACAAAGTCTAAAAGAATCGACCGCTGTCGTTTTACGAGGTATATCAAGCGCCAAGCCTTATCCGTTTTGCTGCAAATCCTATTGGTTCCTTGTCTACGACAGGCGTCGACAAAGCGCTGAGGAATTCCCGAACCCCCATCTACCTCGACTCACACTTGATTTCGAATCGTTGATCACGGCAGCGGCCCTGCTCTAAGAAGACTACGACCGATGCGCGGCACCATTGAAACTGCGATGCCTGCTCTCGACACACCCAGGGCACACCTTTACTCCCCCGAGTCTCTCCCCATGGCTACCTGACGGGCTTGATGCGGGGGCTATGCTCGCCAGCAGCAACCGGCACGACCTCTACCGCTCTCTTACTCTTACTGACAAGCTCGTAGCTGGATGTAATCGGGACAGCTGTTGTCCATAACACCGGGGGGTATCATATATCGCCCAATCTTACTCTTCGTCACTCACAAGCTTTATCTGCTTGTGTAAGAGGATCGTCTGTGGTGCACAACACCGGGAGGGGTGTTATACACCGTAGAGCATCGCCATCGCAACACTATTAGACCATGTGCAGCGAGAACTGCTCCCCAAACAAATCCACCACGGCCAATCCCGAGGCTAGAGCGAGGAACGCATGCCTCACCTGGAAGGTGTGCCGTTTCACGAGGCCCCCCTTGAGCGCGCGACCGGCCCCACCCCTCGACAACCGCTCGGCCTTCCCGAACCCCGCCAGCCCCCCACCGCTGTCCTCTTCCGCGGCACCTCCGTTTTCCTCCTCCTGCATGGCCTGAAGCTGCACCAGGGACCCCCTCAGCCTGGTGGTGACCTTGCCGAACACGTCCGAGAGCAAGCTGTCCCCCAGCGCGCCGTAACCCTTGGCTGCCGTTCGAAAAGCGGCCTCTCCAGTTCGCTCCAGCTCGGCAGCTTCGTCGTCGTCGCTGCCCCGACGTGGTCTGACCGCTGCTGCTGCTGCTGCTGCTGCTGCTGCCATTGCTGCCCCCGCGTCTGTGCCGATATCAGCACCACCTTCCGAAGCGGCCGCGGCTGCTGAGATCGCCGCGATGTTGGAGTCGAGCCCGGCTATGACGAGGTTGCGGCCGAGGGTGCGGTTAGCCTTGTCAAGCCCCAGCGCCGCGGATACCTTCGAGGCAACCTCCTCCACCAGGGCAGCATCATCACGCACACGCTCCCGCGCGCGGTTCATTGCCTACCAGCCCCAATACTCTCCGATTGTGTGCTGTAGTTGATTTCTTTAGTTGGCTGTGGGATGTTGTGGCTGCACACCTTGCTTGTATTGCTTACAGGCGAGGTCGGCGCGGGCCCCGCGCAGGGAGCGCAAGCGGCGAGTTCGCCGCTGGCGATTTCCGGGATTTCAACGACCTGTTGTGGGCATTTTTCTCGAGGGGGGGTGAAGCCTGCATGTTGTGAGTTTGATTTTGGTCTTCAGCCGTCCAAGCTATCTTCAGTCGTCGACGTTAAACGGTGCGGTGGAGTTGACCCCGGAAGCAAACTCAAAGTTATACACAGCAGCAGCCTGATTCAAGGGCACGAGGGTGACTTCATATGAGTTGCCGCAAGGAGGGGGATTTTGGAGGGCATGTACTGGAGTGGACAGTCCCCCCCGCCGTGGTACGCATCATCGTTGTCCGTGCTTCTCTCTCTCCCGCCCTACTGCCGCCTTAGCGTCCCATCACTGCCTACTGCCACAATCCAGAAGCAAGACGACGCGCGAAGTGAATAGTCTTAGCAGCAAGAGGGAGGACAGGGATATCGTTTAGATGCAACCATGCATCGTGCTCGTCGTACGGCGCTCTCCCATCAGCAAGGAGGGATGCTGCGGCAAAGCACACCGAGACATCTTTCTAAGGTTCGACAAGCGAGTTCTGGCTATACACCCACTGCAGCAGGCAGCGAATTCAAGAGTCGGTGGCCACCAATCGAGTGATGTATGTGCGTCGGCCGCGGCGTCTTATGTTAACTGCCACACTCAGCCGAATCGCGGTCTAAGGGTTCCCTACAAAGTATTGTAGGCATGCGGGGCAGCGAACGGTGAATGTACGGGAGGCATCATCGAGTAGGCACAAGGGAGGAATGCGGAAAAAACTTGCGTGTCGGTGTGCTACCATTGCAGGTTGTTCCTCAAGCGAAAACACGCGGCGCAGCTACCTCTCTAGATTGACCATTTCGGTCACAGATATTACGACGCTTCCTTGCAGTCTCTGCCGACCAAAGGGCATCATTCCTGTTCCAGGGCTGCGGCGAGGAACGAATCATGTTTCCTTGAGAGGAAAGACGCGGAAGCGCCCCAGGTACAGCAGGTAAATCTACCACGACTACCCAATCGCTGTTGAAAAACTCTAGATCTACATGTGTATGGATTTCAGTGTTGATACCTCATGCAACGTCCGGCCATCCCTATCGCCCCGGTGGTCTAGTGGTATCCTCGCAATCCGCTACAGTGCAGGCCCGCACTTAAGAACCTCCTATATTGGGCGAGGCTCAGTTCTTATTGGCTGGCCCAACCCGAGCACCCGTTCTTATTTGCCAAGTTCTTATTTCGTCGACCATTCTTCTCCAGAAAGGGGCGTTCTTGTATTTTAACATAATTTGCTATATTGTCGGCTGTCAACCATGAGCAACACTAGTACTGCTGTCGATACAAGAAAATACCAAGGCATGGGGCAGCAACTGTCAACCTTCTTGGTCCACAAGGGTGACGTTGGTCCTGCGTACCCTTCCTGATCTACTAATGCTCTCAAGCGAAACCGCAAGGGGGAACACTGAAAATGAAACGCGTCCCTTGCAAGTAGAGTGACAAATTTACGTGTCCCATGCATCCAGGTGACAACGGCAAATACCGTAAATGCCGAAATGCCGCCAAAATTCCACTGAACCATAATTCTACCCTTCAAAGAGTCAGCCAAGTATGCACATGAAGGAGCGCACACGCAGCCATTCGTCTGAGCTACTCCCCCACTTTTCCTGGTTTTCGGAGCTAGCCGGCAATTCGGATCCAGCCGTTGTGCGATACGTAACTATCTCCGTTAGGATTTGAGGAGGACGGAGTCTAAAGCTGTAGAGAAGCACTGCGCCTGTTCGCTCCTTCCTACTGCTGCTTGAGACTGACTTGGGCACTCCAAAACTCCGACAGGTACGAATAAACTCCTTTGTGTGTGGTCGAAGATGGACTGCGTCTTTGTACAAGCCCAACATGCCACCATGCACAACATACTGCTGCTGCCGTTCACCTGTCGCTGCCCTTCCACGTCTACCTGTCCATGACACATGCTGCCACTTGATGCGACAACATCTGGGAACAACACGGACACAGGGAGTACTCCCCCTACCCAAACACACACCGTCAAATTTGAACAACCTCTCATTCCTCCCTTTCCACATACAACTGATGTAGATGCATGAAATCATACACTCTGTCTTTACTTATGGTCCGCGCTGTCTACAAATGGGAAAGGTAGCCATACTTTCTGCAGACACATGGGCGACAGAGGTGCCCATACCCACTGCATTTAACACACACCCACATGTCGGTGATGAAACCTCAACCACACGCCTCTCGAGTCTATCGGCGGCCACGTCAGGAGGCAATGATGCGGTAATGTTCTCCCTTGCCCTTCGCACATTTAATGACGTGCAATTACACAACGCCGTCCCGCACATGCTCCCATACATCACACACAAAAAATAAGTTGATGACGAAAATATACACACCCCGAGACGCGCTTGCTCCGCAACCACATAAGGGTCCCATAATAGAACACCCGACAAACCGAGTTCCCCTAAATCTTCCGTCTACAACTTCCCAACATAACATGCACATAGATACACAAGATGGCTACCAAACTGCCTTGTTGAGCCTCTTACCCACAGGGGAGATATCGCTGTATGCTGTCTGGGAAACCGTAGACATGCAGGTAGCTTTCGCTTGCGAGACACGCTATGGATTCATTGCTAANCAACTTCCCAACATAACATGCACATAGATACACAAGATGGCTACCAAACTGCCTTGTTGAGCCTCTTACCCACAGGGGAGATATCGCTGTATGCTGTCTGGGAAACCGTAGACATGCAGGTAGCTTTCGCTTGCGAGACACGCTATGGATTCATTGCTAATCTATCTTAGACTTTTTTCTATAGATAGAGATGGATTTGTTGTGTGATATAAAAACAAAACAGGAGGCTACAGCCGCATCCGAATCTCCGCTCTACTTGTCTAAGGGCAACTTCATCTTGCGCGTACTCTGGTCTAGCTCCAGCTGCACACAGTAGTCGTACAGGTGGCGAGTGTCCTTCTGAGATTGTTGAGTGATCAGCCCTCCAAACCACCCCATGCCCATCCTAACGAGCACTCCACGCGGCAAAAGCAATCTGTCAAGAGCAACGGGTTTAGCTTCTTGAATACGAAAGCCTGCCGGGATCTCCATTCCCTGTATCTCATCCTCCAGGTCTTGTGGGTCCATGCTGTCGTCGTCGTCCAGACGAGCTAGCTCGTCGGTCTGGGGTTGAAAGATGTCTGCGAACGAGGCAACGGGAAGCACAACAAGTTAGGGTGTCGCGTCGCCAAACTCAACCTGAACTTATCATAATTTGAGTGTAGCCGTGCGCGGAAACAAGCTAACGTCAACATGAAGGACATCGTCATCAACAAAAAGAAGATGAAAAGTTGGTTTTGTGCAAAACAAACTTACCGCCGTCGTCTTCATCGCTGGAGTCAACGCCTTCCATGAGCGTCTCACGTCCTCCATCGTCCTCCTCCGCCCGCCCCTCAGGCTCATCGTTGCCGTTCTCCGAACCTTGTTCGTCGTCGCTACTGCCTTCATCGTTAGCGAAGGTATACGGCTTGTCCAAACCATCCAAGGTGATTCGATCATTGCCCGAGCCGTCCACGGTCATGGCCATCCCGCACTTTTCGAAAAGACGGTCTCGGTATGCCTGTTGGCTGTTGAGTCTTGCCATGGCCGCTCCCATCCACTGAGTGATCAGGACGCGCCGATCAGAAGCTGTCAGCGACGCGGTTTCCCACCTCTCGAGGTTGTCCGACTGCTCGAGCCATTGTCCATCTGCCTCCCGACTTCCACCTTGAGAAATCGTCCGGCTCCTGCATCAACTGGCTGCACCTCGTCCGTGCACTCCGAAGGGCCATACCAGGCGAGAGTGTTGCAGTGCTCGTAAGATACTCCTTGAACTCGTCCGTGGTATGCGCGTGCAACTTTTCCATGATAAGAATGGACCTCGCCTTGGGGAGCTCACCCTGCCCGCGCATCACGCTTTTCTCGGGGGCACCCAGGGGCACGACGCGTGCGTACAATGCCCACCCTCCCCCGCTAAAAAAATACAAATGTTGACGTGTGGGGTATGTACCCCTCCCAAATCCAATACTCTGTACCCTGGGATCACTCCCCCCTCTTCCCTCCCTCCCCCTGCGAGTATTCTTATCTGGCAGCCGCTGCATTGCTGTCGTTCTTATTTGTAGCAGCAGTTTTGCACCTCAGGTGTGTGTTCTTGTTCCTAACAGGGCGTGCAGCTGAGCACGTGTTCTTATCGTAAATTCTTAAGTTTTGGATTTTTTTAGCATCAAATTCTTGAGGGCCATATTCTTTAGTGCGGGCCGGCACTGTAGTCGCAGAGGTCGTGAGTTCGAATCCCCCTGGCGTGAAAAAATTACGAAATTTGCGGGTGAAAGCGAAATATAGCTAACAAGCTCTCGTGAGTACCAAACTTCGACGTTAACACCGCTGACGAGGGAAAGGGACAGCTGGACCCTTCTCGCGATAAAAATCAAATTCAGCACGCACCGCAGGAGGAAGGTGGGGCATGAAAAGAAATAAAAAGAAGAAAAAGCCCTGGTGTTTGCCCCCCTCCTGTGTGACCCTGGATGGTTGTAGTTGTACGAAAAAAAATCACTGAAAAGTGTAGTACTCTACATACGCTGAAAAGTTTAGTACACGTCTCACCACGAAAAATGGGGGGACTGTCGCCATAATAAATAGGACGAAAACACACACACACATTATTGCTGTTTTATGTATTTTGGGACTTCATTGTGCAAATATCCCTTGGTTATATTACCTGCTCTCCTCCCGGATACTCGTTGTTCGGCGTGGATCGTAGCCTTGAGCGCACAAGTAACCGCGCATCGTCCTGTGGCACGTACCATTTGATCCGGAAGATGTGGTGACAGGAAAGACCCTCTGAACACCAGGCCATTTTGTCTTACGGGAGAGGTCATCGTCCGACTCTGAAAGCGGGAAGCCATGTCACCC